CACCCTGTCTTTATGGGACCTTTAATGAGCAGTCATTCTCATTTCCTTACAGTCCAATTTCCCACAGCCTGTTTTTATGGCTAGCACTCTTTGGGTATTAGTCATAAAGCCTACGGAAGTTTTGTTTGCTCCCAGGTCAAAGGCGTCCTCCTGCACTTTCCTGTGAAGAAGCTCTGCCTTTCCACCTTCCACACTTTCATCTGCATCCGCACAGAAGGGGCCTTGCACGTTCAGCGTGAGCCAGGCGTCAGGACTAGGCTTCCCATGTGGCAGCCCGTTCATTCAGAAATACTGATTGAAAAGACCATCTCGCTCTGAGGTGAGCTTCCTTTCATTTCTTGTTTTATATATTTTGGATTGCTGGAAGTGATTACAACATACCTGTATCTTCTGAGTAACTTAAACATGTACATATGTCTGTATGTATTAATACATGTGCAAAGAATCAGAAATGTTTAAATGTCCAACGATGGGGTCCGATTCAGTAAATCGGGATTCCATGAAGATGAGAGACCACCATAGCCCTGAAAATGCTGATCTGTGAGCACAGATTGGGTCTCCGGGGGAGCCAGGTGTTAGTCACGTGAAGGGAGAACATGACCAGGAGAGTGTAATGGAATGCAGCGTTGTGAGACGCGTGGCTGTTGGATTCACACACTGCCTGTGACTGTCCAAGCATTAACTCTCTCTTCGGGAGCCCACAGCAGAGGAGAACAGGGAGGGGCCGTGAAGACAGGCACAGAGGGGGATCCGTGCCCCAAACATGGTTTTACAGGGTTGGGACTCTTTTTTTACCATGTGCATGTACTGGATATTAAAATAACTTTAAGTAACCCCAGCACCAGGGAGGCTGAGGCAGGAAGACTGAGAGTTTGAGGCCAGCCTGGGGGCCACATAGTGTTCAAGCTCAGTCTGGGCTATGTAGACAGAGCTCATTCTAAAAACACACAAACAAGCACGAAAAGCAGGTTTCCCGGAAATCTGAGGGTTTCACCACCTCCTGTCTCCTTCCTCGTCCTTCTAGCCCATCACGGTCACTCCCACATCCACCTCTCTGGCCACCCTGGCCACATCAGGACACCTGAGTCACACTGGATGCCACTAGGACCAGACAGCTTCAGTTATCATCTAAATGTTCCCAGAGAGACGGCTGTTAATTAATTGTGCATTTGCTCATTCCCCTTGCAAGCAATTATCCCAATGAAACCTCCACAGGTGAAGTCTGCCTCTTGTTGCAGCAAGCCATTTCCACTTGGACGCCTGTGGCCCCTCCTAGTGGTATCTGCTTACCAGGAGCACCCTTTTCTGTTTGGAGCCCATGCGTCAGGGGGTGGAGGGCCCAGGCTGTCAGATTCCTCTTTTCAGGCAAGCTCCCTGAACCAGGAACTTTGGCTACTGGGGGATGGTGGGTCAGGATGTGTGACACGTCCATTGCACGTGCCCAAGTCGAGGACAAAGGTTCAGAAAAGCATGGGGAAAGAGGAAGGCCTGCCTCACAGGGTTCTGAAGCGGCCATGCCTGTCAGCATTCCCACAACTAAGACTCAATACCTGACACCCACAACTTAAAGGAGGCAATGGTTTATTTGGCTCACGGTCTCAAGGGGTTCAGTCCATGGTCAGCTGGCTCCAAGGCAGGAGCATCATGGTGGAAGAGAGTGGTGGAGCAAAGTTGCTCAGTTCATGGTGGCCCCAAAGCAGGGCAGGGGAGCAGCACCCGAGAGGAAGGGGCCAGGGAGTAGGCGTAGTCCCCAAGGTCACACCCACCCAGACACACTTGGAGTGTGCTCCACCAACTCCCCTGGTTGACCCCAAAGCCAACCGAGTTGACACTCCACCCTGACCAGCAGAGCGGCTGAAGTGGATGAAACCAGGCACCCACTCTGGACCTCACAAGGTCAAAACCAAGGCAGTGGCCCAGCCGGGCTCCAACCTGGAGACTCTGGAGGAGAATCTGCTTCCGGCTCATCCAGGCAGCTGGCAGAGTCCAGCTCCTCACAGCCACAGGTCTGAGGTCCCGTGTCCCGGCTGGATGTCAGCTAGGACTGCACTCTGCTCCCAGGGTCACTCCCAGGACTTCCACCTTCAGGCCAGTCATGGTGAATGACTTTGCTCTGTGGCCAGCTGTAGAAAACTCCCTGCTTTGAAAGGGCTCAAAAGGCCAAACTGAGAAGGATCCCAGATAAACTGTGTCTCAAGGTCACCTGGCTTGGGACTTTAATTTCCACTATGCAGTCCCTGCACAGAGGCACCTAGGTTAGATCTGAGTATGGGACTCCTTTATATAAGTACCGCGCGCTAAGCAATTGCGCCACTGGAGCTCCAAGGGACTCCTTTATAAATGCCCACCACACCCACGTCACGCCACACCTACCTCTCTCCAAACTTCCCTTCATCCAAGTTCAAGGAAAGGAAGAGAGCCCAACTGCTGCCGAAGGATCCCAACACAGGACCCGGGGGACCAGGAGACACTGCAGCAGAGAGATGCAGGCTCTGGCTTCAGCCCTGAGGCAGGCTAGAGCAGTGGTGAGAAGCCTGAAAACACTGCCTTTTCAGCCAGCATGACCCAGTGCAGCCAACTAGCCGGTGTGAGCTGGGGCCCCTCCTCTCTGAATCCTTGGGCTGATCTACAAGAGGACATCTCTGGAGCACCCACCACACCACCTGGAACAGGCCATGCTCAGCTGTCATGAGCATCACGCCCACAGTCAACGTGCTGTCGAGCCATCTGCACGACCTTCTGAGGAACATTTTTCTTGTTAAACACCACCCCATCCTCGCTGGGCACCACACACTGTTTAGCTGGCTCTTCCCGGCTCCAACCCCCTTGCTGGTTGGACATGAGCTCAAGGAGCTGATTCAGGGGGCTTCCCACATGGGGAGCTCATCTCCACCTGTTCCAGCCCGCAGCGAGCTACCTGAGCTCCTAGTTACCCAACAGGGCGCTAGGTTGGAGCAGTTCCACGTGTGCCCACGAGGGGGCAGCACAGGCAGGCCTCAGCAGGGGACCCCATGGCTTCTGCCCTGGGACAGGCCTGGACTGAGCTGTGGTTCAGGGACCCCAGCGTGGCTTGACCGTGGGGAAGACAAGTCCCCGTCTGTCCCGGGACACAGGCGCTGCAACTCTGCCATGGGTGTCAGCACTTAGGATGCCGAGTGAGTCTCTCCGAGTTCCCAAGAGGAAGGAAATGAACACTTCCATCTCTTCTACACCTGAAAGGAAGAGCCCAGTTTTACAGGGAAGCCAACTCAGGATGAGAACAGTTAGGTCACCTGGTCACCACCAGCGAGAAACAAAAGATGTTCTAAATTTTATCCCAGAAAATTTCAAGCCTCTTCAAAAGAAAAGTCCCAAGCCCCACAGTACTCATCGTCAAGCTTCACACACCACCAGTCCTGCACTGTCCTCGGGTTTGTCTAGCGGGCTGTTTTTAATGCAAATTGCAGACACTGGCGATTCACCATCAATACTTCTGTTTGCATGTCTGACGATGAGGACATTTTTATGTGGCCACTAGGCCATTATCACTCTCTAACAAAAGCATCAGGAGCTTTGCACTGCCACCTAATACCCAGTCCATAGTCAAATCTCCCCCTCTGTCTAGTCTTTTTTACAGTTGGTTTGTTCTGCCATGATCCAAGGAAGTCCCACACATCCATTCAATTATGTCTCTGACAGTCCCGCTTTTTTTTGCTCTCTCTGGGCCTTAATTAATAACCTGAGTCATTTGTCCAGTACAACGCTCACATTCTGAAGGTGGCACAGCATCTGGCCAATAGCAGCAGCAGGTGAACAAATAGGGTTTTGTTGTTGTTTTGGGTTGTTTGCTGTTTTTTGAGACAGGGTCTCGCTATGTAGTCCAGCCCGGCCCTGAACTCACTATGTCACCCAGGCTGGCCTCGAACTCATGGTCATCCTCCCACCTCAACCTCTTGAGTGCTGAGATTACAGGCTGTGTCACCATACCCATCGAACAAATAGTTTTTTGGTTTTTGTTTTATTTTTTTTCAGTACTGGGGATCAAACTCAAGACCTTGCGCTTGCCAGGCAGGTGCAGTGCCCCAGCCCAACAAATGGTTTTAATGAGACCAAAAGCAAAAGAAGTTCTGTCCCCACTAGTGGAACACAGAGGCGGCACTCCTCGATCAATCCCCGGGTACTGGGAGGTTCAGCCCTGCAGTCGGGACCTGGCGCTGCTCCTGGGCCCCAGCCAAAGTCAGGACCTGAGGCGCCCTCTTCCAACACTGCTTCTTCCCAGGATGAGACAAAGTACACAGACCTCAGCCGAGGCTGCCTGATGAATATCGTGGGGGTTATATCTATTTTCTCTTCTTCTGAACATGTCTGAAATTTTGTGGATAAAACTAACAGATTAATAAACACTTCTGAACTGACGAGCATCCGTGATGTCCAAAACTCTTCCTAAACAGCACATTATTCTCGATTATGTTTTGTGCTTTACTGTGATAAAACGGAAGGTGACAGGTACAAAACAGACACTCGCGCTCCCATCATGCGACATCAACCCCGCTACACTGCGTCACTTTCGCTCCCAGGGTCTCGCTTCTGCGTCTGGACCCCATCCCCTCCCCGTCCTCCTCCTCACCAGGACAAGTGGCCTGGCAAGACCGGCTTTCTCGGGCCCTTGCGGCCTTATTTTCCAGTTACTTGGAATGCCGCGACCGCTGATTTTCCTCCAGTCCAACGACCCCTTGCCTGCATTTACCGATCTAGGACCCGGCGGGCCCCAGCGAAGGCAGGCGGACGCCGCGCTCCCCCACAGCCCGCCATGTGCGCCCCGCCCCTGCGCTCGTCCTCCTCATTGGCTCTTCTCTGACCTCGCCCCACCCAGATGAGGCCCCTCCCTCAATCCCTTCACCTTTCACCGCCTCACCTTCTGTGGCTGCCGGGAAACCTCGGGCCCCGCCCACCGGGGGAGGAGGAATTGTTCTCCGCCATGACTCTCGATTATTGGTGACTATTGTCTGTCGATCATTGCAAAACTATCACGGATTGGGTAAGTGGAAGTAGTGGGGCGGGGAAATCGGCGCAGCGGTTCCACGCATGCCCGAAGCGTACGCGGTGACGGCGGCGACGACAGTAATGATGGCGGCTTGCTGCGTGAGGCTAGTGCGGCGAAATCTCCCGGCTTTGTCGTACCTCAGGTAAGGGGCTCTAGGATTCCCTGGGCTGAGCGGAGAACAGCGTCTCCTCTGCACTGCCCTGGTGCGCTGGCCTTTTCCGGCCTCCGTCCCGGAGCCGGTACCCGGGGTCCGTGGGACGCTGATTCCCGGAGCCTCCAGCCTGGGAGCTGGGCATCCCGGGCCGGATGCGGACCCCATCCGACCTCGGACGCCCCGGGCCATGGCTCCCTTGCTCCGCGCCGTGCTGTGTGTGCACCCGGTTCGGGAACGCACGAACTTGGCCACCTGGACCGGGAAGAGTGGGCGCCGGGGGCCGCGGCGTGTGCTTTTGGAGTGGGAGGTCTGCCGCCCACGTGTGCGTGCGACACCGCTCACGTCCACGAACCTCAGTCGTGCCCGGGCACAGAGCCGCCCTCAGTATATGCACTTGAAGGGAACAACCAGAGAAACCGAGGCTCGCCTAGGGTCACGCACTGAGGCAGAAGCCGGCCGGGTGTGGCCTGGACACGGGACGTGTCTTACTAGTCAGGACCTGCTCGGGGAAATTGTCCATGACCAAGGCACCTGTCGCCCAGTTCACGGGCTTCTTCCACTGCTCCTGGAATTCCCTCTCCCCTCCACCACCTTAGGAGTGTCAGGGCGAAAGGCAGCAGAGCCTGCCCCGCTTCTGGCACAGAGAAGTTTAGACAAATGCACACCTCACCCCAGGGTCACAGATCCAGCACCCTCACTGTTTTCCTTTTACCTTGTGGTTTCTGGTTTTTGAACGACCTACCTCAAAAATTAATCTAGCAAATACTTAGTATCCTTATCTAGTGTGTGGGGGGATCGGCCTAGAAGCAAGTTATTAATGAAAGCAAGAGAAACTACTGCGGCAAACCATGGGCACGGTGAGAGCTTACTCGCCTGGTGCAAGCAGGCGTGTGAGGTGAAGGTCACTTACAGTTAAGATGATAGGCAAAGAGGGGAGCACTAGCTTAATAAATTAAGGGGGGCTGGGGACAAAAGAGCTTCTTAGGAAACTTGAATAAAAAGACTGAGGCTGGGGATTTAGCTCAGTGTTTCCACTACCTGCCTTGCAAGCAGAAAGACCCGAGTTCGATCCCCGGTACCAAAAAAAAAAAAATTGGTGATAAATAAAAAGACTGAGACTCAGTTTCCCTCTGGGGCACGGACCAGCTCTGACTCTCAGAGAGAAGGCCAGCTTTAAAGCCAGGCCTGATGGCACACGCCTGTAATTCCAGTACTTGGGAGGCTGAGGCAGGAAGATCCACACGAGCTCAAGGCCTGCCTGACCTCAGTCTCCCAAAAAACAAGTACTCTCAGTTTTTAGACTCCTAGGTTTTTAAAACCTGGAAGTAAAAATGTAATAAAAAGGTTGTTCTGCCCACTTTGTAACAGATTATAATAGATCTTTCCACTTACTTCTGCAGGCCTCAGAAATGATCACATACATAGCATCCCTAATTTGTCTTTACAAAAACAGGATCGTGGTTTTTTTAGGCATGTGCTGTAAAATGCTCAGTGACAGACCACATGTAGACAGTGGTCCCATCAGATTATATCACCTGTGACGCCTTAGTCTTTATGTAAGGATGTTCCATGATGTCCGTGTGACAAAATCACCTGATAATATCTTGCTCAGGATGCATTCTATCATTAAATGACACCTAACTGTACAAAAAATACAGTGAATATTTAAATTTTAAGATATTACGGTGAAAAACACATTGCCATAAATCCACCTCAATGTGCTCTCTGGCTCTCAACACATTCATCCCACCCTTGCCATTTTCTCCAGCTGTTGTAGAAGTCCACTTTTGTCTTTAAGTTGTTCTGTTGTGACTGCCTCAGTGTCTTGAATGGATTCAAAACATTTCCCCTTCAGGGTTTTTTGTTGTTGTTGTTGTTATCTTTGTTTGTTTGTTTGGTACCGGGATCGAACTCAGGTCCTTGTGCTTGCAAGGCAGGTGGCAAAACCACTGAGTTTAAAAACCCAGGCCCCCTTCATGGTCATTTTGACTTTTCTGGCAAGAGCCAGAAGGCACACAGTGCCAGATCCAGTGGATAAGGTGGATGAGGATACAGCTTCATGTTTCCACTTGACAGAAATTACTGTAAACAGCTGCAGGAAGTGGCAAAGAGGGTGGAACAAGTGTGTTCAAAGTGAGGGGGAAGATGTTGAGGGTAATTGATGGTAATGTCTTTTACTACAATCTTAAACATTCACCGTATTTGATCCTGCCTCATACAGCAGATCGCTGATTGGACTGTGGCATAATTACACAAGAGCTCTCACTGGTCTGGCTGAAGAAGTCTGGGTTTCTTTTTATCACTAATGATCTTTGTGGCCTTGTGCTTATCACTTAACCTTGTTACACGGAATAAAACCTTAGTCACTGTGGGATCTGTTTGGGACCTCTTTGTAAGCCCCACCCCACGTCTCCTGTTGTGTCTCCTGACTTGTCAGAGCAGTTCTCCTTTACCCCCTGTAACTCCCGTTACCCCGCCTGAGATCTGCCTGCTGAATCTCCCAAAGTACCAGCTTCCTCTGCATCACTCTTAAGCCCCAAATGACTGTTCTGTGTATACAGAGATCTCACCTTTTTATGCTGAGCTGTGTGTGTGTGATCTCCCCCATCCATCGTTAGAAGCCATATCAGCCTGGGCCTGCCAATAGCTGCTAGATTTTGAGGCGAGGCCTGGCTGCCCAGATCTTGGAAGGCACCTCAGAATGCAAGAGGGCATTGGGTGCACATGTCAGCTGAATGTTGTAGAGTGTCCTCAGGCAAACCTAGGTGGTATGGCGTGCCACACCCATGGGCTGTGTGCTACGGCCACTGTCACCTGTGCACTGTGTTACTGTGTCTGCTGAGAACCAAAACGTCGAACATCATGTGCAGCATCTGCTTCCATCCGTCATAAGCTCCTTCCTTTGTTAGATAGACCTTAGGTAAATCTTTTCTCCCCAAAGTCTGGAGCAAGTAATTTGAAATTACCCCATATTTCTAAAGATAACGTGTAGGCTTTCTTCAGGCCCTCTCTGCGGCTGCTGTGCACAGCTGCGAAACAGAAGAGCAACAGCTCCAGCCTGGAGGAGGGTGTGCAGCCCAGTGAGCAGAAGTCAGAGCCTCCCGCTCCAGACAAGGTCCTCCTGGAAGAGAAGGGCCGGTTGGAAGAGCAGCTCAAAGAGACCGTGGTAAGTTCCACTGGTGACAGCTGCTGCCCGAGGTGGCACAGGCTAGAGCCAAGTCCAGCGCAGTGTGTGTGGTGGTGCCTGTTAGGGCGTAGGCGGTCTTCACAGCGAGGCGTGCTGGGCTGGCTGTGGAAGCAGCGACCAGGAGGGAAGAAGAGACTTGCGGGTCAAGGAACTGGGGGTGCGAGTGTGGTTGCGCAGTGCCCATCCAGAATTGGATGTTACTCCGTGTGGGAGCACAGACAGCACCAAATTCCTTGAGCATCTAAGGCTGCTGCCCAAGGCCCACGCGCTGGGCCTGTGCTGAGCTCACCGCCTTGCCCTTCACCTTAGTCCAGTGAGTAAGCGTCCCTTAGCCCTGTACCCAGACGTGGAAGCTGAGGCACAGAAAGGAAGGGAAACTAGCGACCAGGTTGCAGAGCCAGTGTCTCAGCCACTGCTGCAGTTGCCTGAAGACTGAGGACAGGTTCTTGGGCTGCCCTGGAGGGGAGGTGCATGAGCTCACAGGTGAGGGAGGACGGAGGCGAATCCCAGAGCTGCAGCATGTTCAGCCGAGCGTGCTCTGGGCACTCCAGACACATTGCAGGGGCATGGAAGGCCTTACTCCATAATGGGCTAAGGAGGTGACGGCAAACCTTTTGGAGATGAGTGCCCAAACTGCAACCCAAGCCCACTTATTTATCTCAAAGTGCCAGCACTGCAATCAAACCTGAGTGCTGAGGTTCTCGTGCAGAAGAAACAACTGTTACCCATTCTCGGCTGCTGGAGCAGCTTGGCTAACTGGCGACAGAGAGGGCTCTGCATCTGGGCTGCAGCACACATGCCGTAGGTTCCCCAGCCCTAGGCTAAGGCCTCAGCTCCCCACCTGAGTCCTCTTCCTCACCCTCCCTGCAAGGCACAGGCCTAGGGACAGGGATGCGTTCTGCTGGGAAACTGCTGTTCTCCCCAGAGGGTGCCGAGTGGAGTAGAACCCCAGCGAGGACCTTCCTGTCCTTCACCCGAGGCACTGGGGAAAGAGTGGAGCCACACTTCACTCCCCACGCGCTGGGAGGATGGACAAGGCTGTAAACCGGTCTTCAGCTGTCTGGTTTTCGTCCACAATCTGAAAAGTAATGACAGATTTTATTTGTATTTTGACGTGTGTTGCATAATCATTTTTAAATCAGGCTGGCTTTCCATGAATTTGTTCTGTAGTTAATAATTCAGGTAAATTTTGTTTTCTTTCTCTAGGAAAAATATAAACGAGCTTTAGCAGATACCGAGAACTTGCGGCAGAGAAGCCAGAAACTAGTAGAGGAGGCAAAGTTATATGGTAAATGTGAGCGTCATGTGATGTTGGTCCTGGGGAGCAGCTAAACATCTGAGCATCAGAGAGAGGCCGGTGCAGGGCGCCCTCTGGGTGGGGTGAGTGGTAGGGAAGCAGAGAGGACGCAAAGTGCGGTCGGCAGTGAGGGGCGCTTTTCCTGTCCCCTGGGGGGCCTGGTCTCACTGCAGCCGCAGGTCAGCGCTAGCCACTGGGACAGAACAAAGGAGTCCCTCAGAACTCCTGAGGAGCTGTCCCTGCCTGCCCATTTTACAGTCGGGCCCAGTGAGCCTTACTGATTTGCCATAGCACACAGCAGTCAGCAGTGGCGGCGGCAGCAACATCACCATTCGCGTGCACATGACATAGACGTACTGACAACACTCTGCCTCTGCGTGGCTGCTGTCGCCTGTGTATAACTGGGAGGTGTCCCTCCCTGTGTGACGGATTAGGGACCCAGGCTCAGGATCTGGGGTGAGTGGTTTGCTTTAGGACAGATAGCAGATGGATCTCACCTCACTGCTGCAGATCACATGCCTACTGCTGTCGCCTGTTTTCCATTGCCCTCCCTCCCTTTCTGCTAATGCCTTCGAGGGCTGCCCTGGCTCTTCGGATGTGGTAGCAGGCCGCTTGTCCTTTGCTGTACCCCTGGGTGACTTCCGCCCTCCCGTGGGTCTCTGTGGCCATCACATTCAAGTTCTAGCCCCTGTAGCCAAGTCTCAAGGGCATTTGAGACCGACCCCTTCACACCCGTTCTGGTCAGGGGTGCCAACTCTCACCCTTGCAAAGGCTTCTGGGGTTGGAGCTGTTGAGGGCAGCAAATGATTCCCTAGGTGTCACCAGAGGCTCCAAGCCTGCAGCGCGCAGCTCTGGTGACCTGCAGAGCTGGTCCTGAATACAGACGTCTTCCTCCTCGCTAGGCATCCAGGGATTCTGCAAGGACTTGCTGGAGGTGGCAGACATTCTGGAGAAGGCCACCCAGAGCGTCCCGGAAGAAGAGATCAGCAATGAGAACCCGCACCTGAAGAGCCTGTACGAGGGGCTGGTGATGACCGGGGTGCAGATCCAGAAGGTGTTCACAAAGCATGGTCTGCTCAGGCTGGACCCCGTCGGAGCCAAGTTTGACCCCTACGAACACGAGGCTCTGTTCCACACTCCCATGGAGGGGAAGGAGCCAGGCACCGTGGCGCTGGTCAGCAAGGTGGGCTACAAGCTGCACGGGCGTACCCTGAGGCCTGCCCTGGTGGGGGTGGTGAAGGAAGCCTGAGAGGCGGGCTCACCTTCTCCTGCGCACACACTGCCCTGTGCCCCTCTGGGCGGAAACCGGGAGAAAGGCAGCTGAGCAGGCCGAGGCCAGCGCCCGGGCGGGCTCAGGAACTGATTCGGGTCTGCTCATTGCTTCTCTTCGCCACGCGTCACTGGTTCCGTGTACTCCCAGGAGGAGGCCGGGCCCTCTTGGTGTCCTGAGTAGCGCTGTACCTGCAGCTTCTGGTGATTGCAAATAAAAGGTCTCTGGGAATTCTGCTGGCTGCCCGGCTGCGCCCATCTGTGCCGCGCCATCCCCTCTGCAGCACTGAGTCACTGGCCCTCCAGCCGCCACGCGGTGTCCTAGTGAGGAGAGGACACATTTCTCGTGCTGGAAACTGCACTGACTTGAGAATAGACAGTTCGGGTGTAATTAGTGTCTAGCTGCTGCACGCGTCAGCCCTTGGCCCCTCTGTGGAGTCGGGAAGTGAACGTGCCAACTGTGAGGATCTCATCACCTTTATCCTGCCACAGCCGAGTCTGCCCGTCAGCCCCCTGCCCCGATGTTCCTCGCTGAGCTTCTGACCACCTCAGGGTGTGTCTCCAGTAAGGTGGACCTTCTCAGAACACCACCGCTGTCCATGCTTTATTTTATTTATTTTTGGTACCAGGGATCAAACTCGGGACCTTGCACTTGCAAGGCAGGCGGCGGAACCACTCAGCTAAACCCCCAGCCCCATGCTTCATTTTAAATTTTTAAGAGCGTTTAAAGCTTGCTGTTTCTTCTCCTGCTTTCTGGTTGTAATCGAGTCCTTTGATGGAGACCCTGAGCCCATGGCCAGCAGGACAGGTCCCCCATGTCCCAGCCCAGCCCTGAGCTGCATGGTGCAGCCTCTTCCGCTGGGAGCCACAGCCAGAGCGCCCTGTCTGTGGGGGTGGACTGGGCTTTCTGGCCTCAGCCATGGTCCTCATTGACATTAACATCGAGGACCTGGGGCGAGGGTTGGGTGAGCAAGTAGGCATCTCACAGTGAGAAAAGTAAGTTTCCACCGCCAGTGCTAGGATGGAAGGGCAATGCTAATAAATCCACCTACCGCCCGAGGAGGATAGGACAGAGCCTATGGATTTTCCCTAACAATTCGGAACGATGCAAGTAAGCGCCATAATTAAAATCTTCTGTTTACTGTTTCCAAACATTTCCCTCTTCCTTTAAGCTGCCCTGAATTGGTCAAAAACAGCCAGAACTAACGGCAGCATAGCACACAAGAAAAGCCCAGCAGGCCCCATCCGGCTGTGCCTGTCCGTCTGCCAGGGCTCTGTATGTACACCAGGTGTCGTCCAAAAGGGGGCCTGAGTGGGAAACTCGGTGGGTGCACCAGGTTCTGTGGTCCCTTCCGGCTACACCCCATCCATGCATTCAACCAGCTGCAAGTCAGAAAACTCGAGAAGAACCGGGTCTGTACTGAACACAGTCAGGCTTCTTGATACTCCCTAACAGTGCGGTCTGTGTACACAGCGCTCACACTGCCAGGTGTCAGGAGTCATGTGAGGCTGGCAGCAGTTTATGGAGGACTGCATAGGCTCTGCACATCCGCAGCATTGTATGTAAGGGACTTGCACATCCGCCGTTCGGCATCCCTGTGAGTCGGGGTCCCAAGACCAATCTAAGGGTGATCAGCTCAAAGGGGGAAAATTGTCTTTATGGCATGCTTTGGTCACCTGTAGTCACCTAACAGGAAGACATCCGACAATCAGAGCTAAGGGTCTCCTGGCAACCCTCAGGGGTCTGACAGCCACCCGGCCCCCAGGAGGACCTGCTGCTCCCCACACAGGGGACACGGGGCTGGAACATGTGTCTGGGTGTGGGTGTGGGCTCACTCAGATGCAGAAGAAGCAAGCAGCCACAGCGTTTTGTTCTCAACCTCTTTAATATGTAAAAGGACAATAGAAATGGTAGTCAGAGTTGCAGCTTTTAATACATTCTTGGAATGCTGGCCTCCCGGGACCATTACCTTTTTTGACTCAGACAGAGTTAAGTTTGGGAGAGACCTCGTTCTTGGGATTATGGTACCTGATTCATCGTGAGAATCAAATAGAAACATTTCAGGCTGTGAGCTAACAGCAGAGGTAAGGACTGATGTGACAAAACAGCTGGGGCAGGGGACGACAGGCATCCATCCCGGAATTACTTTTCCCTTGTAGCATTACTGTCTCAACATAAATTAATTATACATTCATTGTGGTGTTTTAAAACAGTCAAGCCTAAATAAATTCTTCATACCATCAAAAATATACACACACTACAAACCTGCGTAAGCACAAGGTTTTCACTGAACAGCTCTCGGCCTAGGCCACACACAGGATCCTCTGCTTCTCAAGCTAATGTAGGTCTGGCTATCGCTTTATAGAAAAAATAAGACTAAACCCAACCTCACCAGACTAGGATTCTGGTGGTGTAGAAAGTGAACCGGGGCCCAGATGGCGGAAACCAGTGGTGCTCCACCTTGGGCCCCTGCCCAGCCACTTGCAGGGCTTAAGAAAAGCAGCCGGGCTGCACCCCCAGAAGCCTTGGAATTTCTGACTCGACCACATGGGGCCCAACTGCACCTCTGTCCACCCAGGGCCCGGGACCCTAACTTTGGAAAGCGCTGGCTCAGACAGAGGCTAGCACCAGGCTTCTCGGTGCCTTTCGGGCTCGCCCTGCAGGGGGCAGTGTAGGGCTGGTCCTCAGCAAGCCCAGCCCAGCGCTCGCTCAGGCATGGAGACAGGTCCTGGGTCTGGCACAGGGGCGCTTCTCCACAATGCACTTTCCAGCTAAAGCCGTCTGCAGTGTCTGAAATGTCTTATTTAATGCCGAAACACCTACCCTAGGGGACAGAGGATGTAAAAAGAAAAGGCACATAATCAAGTCCTTAGAAATGAGGAGGTGTTTTCATTTTTCTTTCACTTCAGTTTAATGGAACTTTAAGCCCAATTGTTCTGGGTGGTAAACAGGCTCTTGTACCTAAGGAGGCAGGGGCAGGCCGAGCTCGGGAGAAGGGCTGGGTGTGTGGTCCCTCCAGGGTCCCTAGAGCCCGGCCTGAGCAGGAAAGCCCTGAGCTGCAGGAAATGAGAGCTGCTGCAGGTTTAGCAGGAAGGTACCAGGCAGGTCCTAAGAAGGCCTGGCCTCAGGCTCTGTGTTTCTGTCTCTAGATGGAGCCAGGAGCAGCACAGCCGCTCTGAGGCTCATCTGAGTCCCCTGCCCTCCCCAGAGTGCTGTGCACACCGCCCATGCTCTGCCTGGCTACGCCTTAAGTAACCCACTTAGCTGGGCTAGCACGCTCATGCTTCTTCAGTAGAAAGGGTACTTGCCACTATGATGAAAATCCTGAGGACGCTAACACCAGAACCCAGAACGCTGAGCACGTGGCCATGCACTCTGACACGGGGTCTTCCAAGTAGAATGCACTACAGGTACAGCAGCAGCAGCAGCAGCAGCGGGAACCTGGCGGTCCCCAGTCCTGCATCCCTCCCAGGCCCGCCCTCTGACAGGTGGGGACTGGGATGTGCCGAGGGGGCTGCCGGCGCCCTGGGGGAGGATCTGGTGCTGCAGAGTGCAGTATCGTCTGTGTGCAAACAAGGGCTTCCTAGGTGTCTAGGAGGGGTCCTGGCGGCAGCAGCTGCTGCATGCAGAGGCCCTGCCCAGCCGCCTCCCTTAAAGTGCCACGTGCCCGGGCAGCAGTGGGCTCAGCAGAGGGCGCCAGCAGCAGCCCCACCTGAGAAGAGAGAAGCTGACGGCTTGCTGGCCGGCAAGTGCAGCGCTCCTGGCACCCCCAGCAATAGCTTTTGCACCGAAGGGGCGAAGGCTCACGGGACACAAGGACACCATCCAACCTTGTCACATTCTCCAGACGGAGCCACCGCGCGTCCGTCTCCCCAGATCCACTGTAAGACTGCTGCTATTGCTTCTTCAGAGGACCATGAGAAGACTATACCTTAAAAAAGGAATTCAATTTCTTTAAAAAGGGCAACAGCGGGGAACACCCTCCCCAAGTCCTCTGGCTCCCAGCTGCAGCTGGGCGGCCTCAGGACGCGTCCCTGGATATCCACCCGCTCTCGGTGAGGAAGGTGAGGATCCGCTTCTTCAGGACTTTGTCCAGGTAGCCGGGAAGGCGGCTTTTGGAGGGGATGCCCTGGCGCTTCTGCAGGTGGTCCTTGATGATGATGGTCTTGACTGTCACATAGCGCGCCGGGCTCAGGTTCAGCGAGCTGCACAGCACCTTCTCGCGGTCTGACAGGAGCTCGAAGCCGGGCAGGTTCTCGATGGCCGCGAACTCGCCGTCCTTGCCGTCCTCCTTGGCCCTCTTCGAGCCGGCCAGGCTCTTGTTCTCCTTGCGCCGCTCGCGCTTGTGCCGCGCGGCCTCATACTCGGCTGACTCCTCCATCTTGGTGATGCCGTTGCGCCGGTAGCGCTGCAGCTCGCGGATCTTGGCCCGCAGCATCTTCTCCTTGTGCATGTTCTCGAACAGGTCGTCGAACTCCTTGCACGACATGAACTGGTAGAGCGGCCTGAGCTTCAGGCGCAGCTCCTTCTCCTCCTTGGTGATCTTGCGCTTCAGCGCCTTCTCCTTCTCCTTCTTGTCCTTGCCCAGGAAGGCCGGCACCAGGTTGTAGTCGCGAGCAATGTTCTTGCGGCGCTGCCGCTCCTTGAGCTTGCGCACGTACATGTCCACGTGCGCGCGCTTCAGCTCTATCTCCACGTCGTCGTCGTCGTAGTTCACCGAGAGCCCGCTGATGAGCGTCTCGGCGTCCTGGTCGTACTCGATCTCGTAGTCGTCCCGCAGCGGCATGTAGCCCAGCTGCTGCTGCTCGGCCACTGAGATGTCCAGCGGCGGCAGCGGCGTGGTGAGGCTGGGCGAGAGGGGCCCCCCGCTGGGGCACGTGTGGTCCGTGACGCGGTTGGGGATGGTGTCAGGGATGCAGGCCTTGCCCAGGTTCCCGTGGATGTACATGCTCACATAGTGCTCCATCACCTCCTGGGGGGTCCGGGAGGCGCCCACGTGTGCGGCCATGTCCTCCTAGGCGACAAAAGCCAGCCGTCAGCTTGGTTGCACACACACCCATCCACCTCTGCAGAGGTCTGCCAGGCACTGACTTGTCAGCCCGGCGGCGCACTCCCAGAGACACTGCGTCCCGCCGTCAGGCCCTGACTGCACTGGGGGACCGAGCGCTGCACTGTTCCCCTGGTTCCTCACACAGGACCAGCACCCACACCGGCCGTGCTGCCCTCAGGCCCGCGTGCCCAGGACGCCTGGCCTCGTGTGCAGAAATGCACGGCACACGCGCGAGGCTCGGGTCCCAACCCGGGCAGGGCACCCGGGACGCCGGCTTGGGTGCTGTCCCAGCCTGGTGCTCGTCCCTTTCCTAGGTAGTGACTGCAGGTGACAGTGCACACAGCACCTTCCTGCCCACAAAGCGAACCTCCACTCCACCCCAACTGAGTACATGCCCACTCCTGCAAGAAGGGAGCCCAGAAACAGGCCTATTAATGGGAGGAAACTGTCAACCTCCCTCAATCTTTTCCTTCTGCCAAGAGGCCTCTTCCTTAAAGTCAACCGCCAAAGCCACTTCAGAAAGTAACTGCCCAAAATGCGCACTCATTCACCCGGCCGCCACTTCTCGGTGCCTGCCCCAGCCCCAAGGAGTGGGGTGAGGTGGCCGGCAGGCCCAGGCTCTGCACCGAGGCCCCGGCTGGAAGTCAGGCTGGCTGGTGGTGGAGAGCTGGGTGTGGAGGGGAAGCAGTCCTGGCTCCATGGGCAGAGCCCCCGTGCCGGCCTCCTCCTCTGGGATATACACTCGACGCCAGGGCTGGCCCCCCTGGGCTGGGGGGCCGGGTGACTTAACGGACCAGGTGTGCAGAGCAGCCCCAGGACAAGAGTAAAGGACAGCTTCTGGGCTGGATGTACTTCCATGATTCCTTCTTTCAAAACCTACCAGCATCCAGTATCTTCACTTTATCCTCCCAGAAACATTGAGAGTGAACAGCAGGCGGGGACTGTTCAGGCTAGGAGCACTGCCCATGCTGCGGGACACGAGCTGGTGGGGGCAGCCAGCCCTGTAAAGGGGGCAGCGGCCCTGCGCCCCTCTGCAAGCTCTTGATGGAAGCATGGTGCACATCCCCAAGCACAGGCGGGAGCAGCCGCTGAGGCACTGACTTCCTGTCTTCCTGCCTGCAGCAGCCACTGGGGCAGAGAAAAGTGCTGGCCACATCTCACCAGCCGGATACAGGCCCTGCCTGCTCCATGCCAGGCATCAGCCCTCACCAGGCCTCAGGGCAGCAGTGCCAGCTTCTGCCCGTGCCTGGGAGGACGACCGCCACCTGAGCTGCAACAGAGCCTCGGAGGCTGGCACCATGCCCGCTTCCCAGCCAGGCTGGGTGCTGGTTTCCCAGCAGCTCACCACGGCGATGCAACTGACTTGGGGTCCCTGTTTAATGCTCTGACTTGGCAGATTCTAAAGGCAGCCCCTCTGTGACACCCTGCGGACAATGTCCTCCACTGGGAAGCATCTATGCAACCTGCAGACATCCTCGCCTTGGTCGGCCAGGCTCCTCCTGTGCCTGCCGGGCCACGGGGTCCATCCCTCCTGGAACTTCCTGGGCCAGGCCACTGCGCACCCTGCAGAGATGTCCTTCGTCCACAGCTGAGTGCCTGAGTGTGTCACGTGACCTCTCTGCCCCTGCTCCTCAGCTGACTGGAGGAAACAGCAGGATCCCCTCCACGGGTCCCCATAACCTCGTGGACCCTCAAAGCTCAGGCCCTCTTCCAGGAAGCCTCAGACCCTGCTTCAGGCCTCCTCCTGCTGCCACCTGGCACCGGGCCCTTCACTTTCAGGATTAAAAATACAGACTACAAGAGGCCAGCGCACCAACAGACAGCGCCAGTGCCTCGCCAGGCCTCACAGCTTCAGGGGGGCCAGTCTCGCAGACCCAGAGGACAGAGCTTCCAGTGAGTGGCCAGCTAGCAGGGCTCAGGCTGCCAGGAAGGGGGCGCCCCCCGGTACACAGAGGCCTCCCCGCCCAGGTCCACACTGCCCTCCAGCATGCCCAGGGTACCGAGACCCTGCTGTCCCCTCTCACAGCTGGCTGCAGCCCCAGGCAGGGGCTTTCTCTCCCCAGTGGCTGGGGGCTGGGCACGCGATCTTCCTAGATACCCTGTCCAGCTCCATCCCTTCACAGAAGCCTCCAGACAGACAGGTGCTACCCCAGGCCAGGAGCCACCACCTGCCTGAGTGCCTGAAGACTAAGATGAGAGCACAGGGCCCAGGAGAGCCTCGGTCTGGGAGGACAGGAAAGTCATGAGCCCAAGGGTGGGGACAACTGCACAACAATGGGAATGTGTTTAAGGCCAGGAACCAGACACTGAAACATGGCTAAGGAGATAAACTTTATGTTCGTGTATTTTACCAGTAAAAATAATTAAAAGGATTTGTTTTGCAATACTGTGGGCTAAACCTAGGGACTTTCGCATGCTAGGTACATGCTCTACAACTGAGCCCTTTTCATTTTTATTTTGGGACAGGGTCTCACTAACTTGCCCTGACTGGGCTCAAACTTGGGATCCTCCCGTCTCAGCCTCCCAAGTGCTGTACCTAGGGTTATAGACACACACCACCCTCCCTGGCCACTGACACTATTTGAAGTTTTGAAGTGGTGCATCTGTCACTCCACCTCAGAGGCTCTAAAGAGGGTCCCAGCCTCAGGAGAAGGACATGGGTGTGCGGCACTGCGTGTTCAACTCACCCTTCTGGTGCTGTGCGCACAGTGAAGTCTGGGAACTGAGGCTCTGCACAGCCCTATTCATTCCGGCCGGCTGCGCATCCAGGCTCTTCCATCCCCCACCCCCTCCTTACAGCCATCCCTGCATACCCACTGCTGGCGTGCCACGGCTAGTGACACCTGGGTGAGGAGGGGACCTGTCTCTTGTCCCCAGACTCGCTGGTGAATGACGGCCTTGGGGGCCCGGCACCCCAGCCCCTCACCCTTGGAGCCCATGCTCAGCCCTGCTGCCCCAGGCGAGCCAGGTGTCCCAAAGCAGTGCCTCCTCACCTGCACCAGGAGGAAGATGGACACATCCGCAACACTCCAGCTCCAGGCCTGGCTCCAAGACCCAAGCACCTCTGGCTGGCGCTCGGTCCCCTCGGCCACAGGAGCCCATCCTGAGTCCAGTCTCCGCCAGGCCGCACACACCACTGCCTTCCCACCCCGCTCCACCCAGCAGACTCGGCCACCCGCAGCGCCACCAGTTCACGGACCTCTCAGCCCTCCTGGTGTCAGAGCACAGGGGCTGCCTGCAAGCCCAGCCTGGGTGAACCAAGGGCCACACTGCCCCACCCCAGATGCCACCTACTGGCTGGAAAGGCAACACCACTCACGATGTCCGCCCTGGACCAGGCCTGCACTTCAGTGGGCTCCTGTTGAGGAGTTCACCACCTCACAGCTAGCTGGAGCCCGTCACCACAGCCCCCAGCCCTGTGGAGGAGCTAAAACCTACTGGTCTTCCACGCAAGTCTCAACTTGCTGGAGGTGCAATGCCACACACCTATAATCTCAGCTCTCAGAAGGCTGAGGCAGGGGGCTCTCCTGTGTACAAGGTCAATGTGATCACTAAACCCAGTCTCAAAAAAAAAAAAGTCTCAAACTGTACTGCACTTTTGTCATGTATCCCAGCAGATCTGTGTCCTCCAGCTCTGAAGCACTGCAGACGGGCAGTCTGAAGCCATCAGTGCCCTGCAGATCTGACTCGTGGGTCACTGTGTGCTGGCCAGATATTCCCTCTTGTTGGCATGTTCTCATTCCCTGGCCCTGGCTGTCGTTGTAAAAACACCTGTGCCCACTCCGCCACACTGATCATCCCCAAACCCCAGCCCCCTGGTTTCGCCCTAGCTACATCCTGTTCCCTCCTGGCCCCACACTATAGGCTGACACATGATCACAACGTTGCCAACTTCAGCAACACTCCCTCCCATGAATCCCACAACTAGCAGTACCATCCCAAGGCCATCTGTCACCATTTGCCACCTGAAATTAGAACTGAGCAGGTCTGCATCATTGTCCCCGATGGCCATGTCCAGTCTCTGGTCCACTCCCTTCGATGGCCAAAGCAGGCACACTCTGGCCCAGGCCAGCCACCTCCGGGCCACATCACTTAATGCTCTTACCCCGAGAGGCCGAGGCCCAGAAACTGCAGTCAAGCCTGGCCCTGTCACGTGCAGCACTGTGGACGCCTGGACAAGCAGCTCAGACTCCTGTAAGTTGAGCATCCACCCCACAGCCTGCTGTGTGGACCACAGATGTGTCCAGGAGGAGCCCAGCACAGAACAGGTGCAGACTAAACAGTCGGAAGCAGCTACTTCTGGGCAGGGACAGAGCCCTATGCACACCCACGGAGCAGGAAAGCCTCAGCGGAAGCAAACAAAAGCCAGAGGGGTAAAGCAGCCAGCCCGAAAGGGCACAGCCAGAGAGGGAAGAACAGAGCCACCTTCTCCTGGTGAGCAGGGACAGCACCTCAGGCCGGCCCTGAACTTCAGATCAGCAGGAAGCAGAGCCCTGCCCGGCCCCGCCCTACTCTAAGGGCACTCAGGCTCCAAGGCCCTTTCCCCTGGGGCCCAGGCTCTACTCCAGCTAAGAGACTCCCTGGCTCCAGCCAGAATCTGCATTTCAGCAAGCACTCTGGGTGGTAAGGGTGGGAAAGTGCTGCTTTAACAAAAAGCCCTCCCCACGCCAGCCCAGATTCTCGCCAGACACCCTGCATGCTTTAGGTCCCGGTGTTGGGACCTGTGTACTTGCCACAGTATGGCAGCGAAGCAGTGTAGATAATGTGGTATTGGACAGGCACAGACCCTGCAGCCAAACCAGTCCATCCCAACTTCCTGCCAGGGTTGCTGAGAAGAGATGTGAAGAGACAGAGACACAGAGCTCAGCTCCGTGCCCCGCTCGGCATTGCTCTGCCCCGACAGCTATTTTCAACTGCTGCTGTGGAGATAAGCCTAAAAGAACGGTGGGGAAGGGAAGTCTTTCTGACCACTGATGTTAGGCAGAGAGATCAGTCACGAGGCACAAGCCACGCCTGGGGGAAGAACATTCCAGGCAGAAGGAATGAAAGATGAGACTAAGACCTTGCAGGGGCCAAGATTAATCTAAGTGGACCTGGAGGCCACCAAGGGCCCACAAGAAGCGATTTATGTTTTAAAGGCTCAGTGATTATGGGTTGTAGAAGATGGGTGAAGCGAGAAAAGCAATCACAAGTGGTCAAGCAAGAGGTCACCGCCGGCCTCCACTAAGGTCACAGGCAGTGTTGGACCCTGCATATTCTGAAGAGGGCTGCTGCTGCTGCACTGACACGCAAGAAGGCTTTCAGGATGGCTCCTGATGTGCAGCCTGAGCAGAGTGGAGCAGTGTGGTGTGACACTGGGTCACCATGGACCATGGCCTTCTGAGAAGGCAGCTTGACATGGAGGGCAGGGTGCGTGCAACAGCACTTGAAGCTCTCAGAAGGCAAGGACGAGGGCTTCTCTCCTTCCGGGCCCTTCAGCTTTGTCTATCTGCACAAGGCAGGCGCCTGACATGCATTAACAAGTAGCATTTGAAGACAAAGTGCGGCAAGGCTTTTGCAGGCTGGTGATCACAATGTTGCAGATTAGGTAAAAATTTGTACAGCCATATCCGCCCTAAGGAGTTGGGAGGAGAAGGAAGCTCCCCGGCTGCAGAGTGGTCCCCCAAGGCTGCTTTCTATGGAGAGTACAGCAAAGGAAATTAAAGCAGCACAAGTTGGGGTGGGGGCACTGCAGAAGAAGTGGCAGCAGGTGACAACCCTGAAATCTAACTGTGCCTGGGAAAACTATGGAAGGATTAGGATCCAGTCTCACTTCCCTGCCTGTCAGAAAGTCTGAAGATGGTCACATAGCCTTGATGATTACGGTGACCGTAACAGACGAAGAATGGAAAGAGTTCTTCGGAGAGCCTTGGAGAAGCACCGGCTTTCTCCCCCCCACAGAGGTCCTGACACACTACCTAGCAGGCCTTTTTTCCCAGCCTGCCTTCCCTACAGAAACCTTCTGACAGATGCAGAGAGCCGGGGACCCAGGCCGCCTCGAGCAGGCGTCTTTGTTCACTACATGCTGGCCACTAGTACATCGTGCCCGGGGTGTTATGACTACCTGCAGGGAACCTGCCCCAGGTCACCTCCCAGGGCTCCCGCAGCCAGCCCCGGAAGGCACCCAGGGCCCCGGGTAGAGGAGGCTCCCGCAGCGCCCTGCCGTCTTGCACTGGGCTCCACCAAGGCCAGCCCCCGTCTCCGCCCGGGCTCGGGGAGGCCGGACGCCCGCTAGAACCTGCACCTGGGCGCCCGCCCCGCCGCCCGGCCCCGCGGCCCGGGTTCAAGGCCCAGCCACGCTCACCCAGTTCCCGAAGCCGAACTGCTCGATGGCGTCCAGCAGCAGCTGCTCCTCACGGCTGGTCCAGCCGCCCTCGGCCTCCGGCCCCCAGAGCGTGAAGCGCCCTCCGTCCACCAGCTGGTAGCCGTGGTAGCGTCTGTGGTGACCGATCTCGGCGCCGGCCGAGAAGCACTCGGGGCACAGTTCGATGTCCTGGCACTCGGTGCAGCGGAAGCGCAGCGGGCTCACCTCGGCCAGGCAGTACACGCAGTACTTCTTGCCCAGCTCCGCCATCTTCCCCCGCTCGCCCGCCGCCCGCACCGCCGCCGCCGCGCCCCCGGC